CCCATCTCGTCGAGTTAAAAGCATTCTTCACGTCTAACGTCACCAGTAGTGCCAGCTTTCTTGAATGGTGATTACCCGATTCGGCGGCCCTGACTGCATCCACCACCCCTTTTTATTGCGTCCATCGTTGACCGTCCTTTCCTGAAACCATACTGCATGTCTGCCAGTCCTCCCGCTGCTTCTATGGCCGCCTGCAGCCTCTTCTTCAATAATTTCTCTAGCAGTTTTCCGGCCATGTCAAGCATGCACAAGGGCCTGTAGGACGCTGCCAACAGCGGATTGCTCCTTCCCTCATCTAACAACACCAGGCGCGCGTGCTTCCACCGCTTACAGGATACGCCTTCTTCCAGATAGGTATTATATGCCTCCAGTAGTACCTGCGAGCACGTATTTACAACTTCCTTGATGACCTCTCCTTGTATCCCATCTGGTTCCGGGGCCTTCCCGTTTTTGATTGTACTGGCCGCCTCTTTTAATTACTCCAGGGTGAATTTAGGAACATCCCCTTCAGCTACTGTTTTTTGGGTCATCGTCCGGATAGGATGCGAGGGGAAAAGGGCGTCAACAATCTCTTCCAACTTGTCAGATGTTACGTGTTCGTTGGAGACCCGATCCTCTTCATTACAATCTTATATCCGAGTCCCCACAGATCCTTATCCACATCCTTGCAAAGGTCTCTCCAGCATTTTATCTTGCTTCTGCCAATGGAAATTCTAAGCGTCTTCCTTGCAGTTCGGTGTTCCATGAATGCTTGTGCCGCTTCTGGTTCATTCCTTTTGCGTTGTGCAGCTCGCCGCAGTCGTATGCACTCTTTTCTAAGATCCGAAATCTCTGGCGTCCACCAGTACACCGGGCGTCTTCCTCGATTAATTCTTTTCTTTGGCATAGCCTCATCACACGCCGCTTTTATGGCCTCAATCGTGTCTTCTGCGATCTTTTCCGTTTTTGCGCGTCCTGTATCTTCAATCTGAGTTTCTTTCATTTTGTTAAATCTGACTTGTAACGTCTCTGCTAATCTGACCTTATTTAATTTGTTAACGTTCCATCCATGCCCTTCTCTTTTGCGATTGCTTCTTGGTACTGCCCCTATGCTGAAAGTAATGTATTGGTGGTCACTATCCGTGAAGTCCTCTACAACTCTCCCTTCGTTTATTATGTTAGCAACATTTTCAGTTGCCAACGATATATCGGGTATGGTTCCAGTGTAGCCGTGACGTCGAAATGTTGGTGTGTTGCCTCTATTTAAAACTACCAGTCCTTGCCTCGATGCCATCTCCATTATGAGTTTGCCTCTTATGTTCGGCACCGACATACCCCACTCAACCGCCCTAGCGTTAAAATGTCCTGCAACTATCTTTTGACCCATCATTCCATTTATGGCATCCTCCAATGCCCCCAGGCTGCGCTCGTAATTTTCCATTGCCTGGTTTGGGGTGAAGTAACAGCTGAATAAAACTAGACCGCGACTTCTGATCCATTCATAACTATTCCCTGCTCCATGGTCCTCTACTGGCACCGCTACTGGATCCGTGACCCATATCGCAGCGGTGCCCGTCGAATCCGAATACCAGTCCTGGTGATCTCCGTTCCTGTATTGTTCACTTATTAGTACCACATCCGCCCCCTTCTCGATTTTTAGTTGGACGAGGAGGTCGTTGGCCATTCTGCTCCTATTCGTATTACCTTGTAGTACTCTAATCATCGCGACGTTTTTTAACTTTCTCTAGTGCCACCCTAAAAGCATTACATCTACCTGTCCCCGATATATGATCCACATCTACTTGGCATTCCTTAACTTTGTGGCCCCTACGTCCACATCTATAACAGAGGTCCGCACGATCGACTCCGTTGCAATTGCTTCTTATATGGCCATAACAAAGACACCTGTAGCATTGCTTTACTTATACCCTTTCCCTTATCCTGCAGTTTATCCGACTCCGTAGCTGGAGTCGGGCTCCGACCCCTCGTCCGCTTGTTGGAGATCGTACATGGCGGCACCATCCTGGGTGTTCGAGCGAGTTCCCCTCTTCTCCTTATAATTTCGACTCTTCGCGACCTACATTGTCGCATCTTCTCAATTGCCCCTTCGAGCTTCACGAGTCCGTCCTTGATACTCATGCTCACGTCTTTCCCTTCACTTAGATTCTTTTCTATAATATTACCTGTTTGCTCTGGTGACCGGGCTAGCAGTCTACTACGCCTAAAAGGATCTGTTTTCGGTGTTCCATCCACCATAATAACCTCGATATTTTGCTTGTTGAGGTACGTTGTTGTCCTTTGGCCTACTGCTGCTACATTCTTCTTCCTCGACGTTGCCGTTGTATCTTAAGTATCCTGTTGCCTGTTTGCTGTTGTCGTTGATCTCTGCTGCGTTGATTTATTTATAAAATGCAATAACTGATCCCCTCCAGAATCCGTGGGATCGGTCTCCGAAGAGAGTGGATTCTCAAGCAGAACTGGATTACCACCTGGGGTAATAATATCTTTTGTTTTATTCATTGCATAAAAGTTGAAGTTTGAGCTCTTTGTTGTCAGACGTCGACCAAGTCGCCGCTCATTATGAGTACAGACGCGCTTGGAATTTTCCCGAAGTTTGAAGACTGCTCGTCCCATTGCCGAAATCCGCACGACGCTGGCGCACGCACCCATCCTACCCCCCAACAGCTAGCTGGTTTTAAGCGCCAGCGATTCGCATTTCACCCAGTCTCGTCGGCTTTACCGTGGTAGATTTCCAGGGGATACCCGGCAGACAACTATGTTGTCTACCCAAATATTTAACTGCCGACTTCGTCTCAACTCTGTTTTGGCCGTAGCTAACTCGAAGTCGTGTTGTCGCATAGCCAATCAGTTGAGTATTGCTTGGCATCTCCAACTGCAGTACGCTGTTATATATAATGTTTCACGAGTCCGAGCCCAATATAGAACTCTGCGCAGCACCCGACGTTATCTGCCTACATTTTGTACCACCATCAAATGAGTACAGTCACTAAGCTAACCTTCCAGTATTCGCCGCAAACACGCCGGTACTCGAACTCTTCCACGCAACTGTTGTAAAATGTCCTCTCTTCTCGCCGAGTTAAAAGCATTCTTCACGTCTAACGTCACCAGTAGTGCCAGCTTTCTTGAATGGTGATTACCCGATTCGGCGGCCCTGACTGCATCCACCACCCCTTTTTATTGCGTCCATCGTTGACCGTCCTTTCCTGAAACCATACTGCATGCCTGCCAGTCCTCCCGCTGCTTCTATGGCCGCCTGCAGCCTCTTCTTCAATAATTTCTCTAGCAGTTTTCCGGCCATGTCAAGCATGCACAAGGGCCTGTAGGACGCTGCCAACAGCGGATTGCTCCTTCCCTCATCTAACAACACCAGGCGCGCGTGCTTCCACCGCTTACAGGATACGCCTTCTTCCAGATAGGTATTATATGCCTCCAGTAGTACCTGCGAGCACGTATTTACAACTTCCTTGATGACCTCTCCTTGTATCCCATCTGGTTCCGGGGCCTTCCCGTTTTTGATTGTACTGGCCGCCTCTTTTAATTACTCCAGGGTGAATTTAGGAACATCCCCTTCAGCTACTGTTTTTTGGGTCATCGTCCGGATAGGATGCGAAGGGAAAAGAGCGTCCACAATCTCTTCCAACTTGCCACTCCCTAGATGTTCCGTATTCGTTGCACACTCGGTCCTCTTCATTACAATCTTATATCCGAGTCCCCAGGGATTCTCATCCACGTCCTTACAAAGGTCTCTCAAGCATTTTGTCTTAATTTTGCCAATGGAAATTCTAAGCGTCTTCCTTGCAGTTCGGTACTCCATGAACGCCTTTGCCACTTCTGATCCATTCCTTTTGCGTTGTGCAGCTCGCCGCAGTCGTATGCACTCTCTTCTAAGATCCGAAATCTCTGGCGTCCACCAGTACATCGGGCTTCTTCCTCAATTAATTCTTTTCTTTGGCATAGCCTCATCAAACGCCGCTTTTATGGCCCCCATCTTGTCTTCTGTGATCCTATCCGCTTTTGCGCGTCCTGTATCTTCAATCTGAGTCTCACTACCCGTGAAGTCCTCTATAGCTCTCCATTCGTTTATTATGTTAGCAACATTTTCAGTTGCCAATGATATATCGGGTATGGTTCCAGTGTAGCCGTGCCTTCGAAATGTTGCTGTGCTGCCTCTGTTCAAAACTACTTGTGCCTGCCTCGATACCATTTCCATTATGAGTTTGCTTCTTCTGTTCGGCACCGACATGCCCCACTCAACCGCCCTATACGTTAAAATTTCCCGCAACTATCTTTTGACCTATTATTCCATTTGTGGCATTCTCCAGTGCCTCCAGGCTGCGCTGGTAATTTCTATAGGCTGGTTTGGAGTGAAGTAACATCTGAATAAAACTAGACCGCGACTCCTGATCCATACATAACTATTCCGTGCTCCATGGTCCTTTACTGGCACCGCTACTGGATCCGTGACCCATATCGCAGCGGTGCCCGTCGAATCCGAGTACTAGTCCTGGTGATCTCAGTTCCTGTATTGTTCACTTATTAGTACCACATCCGCCCCCCTCTCTATTTTTACTTGAGCGAGGAGGTTGTTGGCCATTGTGCTCCTATTCACATTACCTTGTAGTACTCTAATCATCGCAATAATTGTATTATTATGCAAATATTTCTTTAAATAATAATGCCCTTTTCTTATTCTCTTAAACATTTTTGTAATAATACAGAGAATAAAGTATAATAAATAAATAAAAAAAAAAAAAAAATATTTGTAATAATAATAATAATATTAATAATAATAATAATAATAATAATAATAATAATAATAATAATAATAATAATAATAATATTAATAATAATAATAATAATAGTAATCATAATAGTAAAAATAGCAATATTAATAATAATAATAATAATAATAATAATAATAATAATAATAATAATAATAACAATAATAATAATAATAATAACAATTCTAACAAAAATAATAATAATAAAAATAATAAAATAATAATCATCATAAAATTAATAATAATAATAATAATGATAATAATAATAATAATCATGAAATTAATAATAATAAAAATAATAGTAATAATAATAATAATAATAATAATAATAATAGTAATCATAATAATAAAAATAAAAAAATTAATAATAATAATAATAATAAAAATAATAATAATAAAAATAATAATAATAATAATAATAATAATAATAGTAATCATAATAGTAAAAATAGCAATATTAATAATAATAATAATAATAATAATAATAATAATAATAATAATAATAATAATAATAATAACAATAATAATAATAATAATAACAATTCTAACAAAAATAATAATAATAAAAATAATAAAATAATAATCATCATAAAATTAATAATAATAATAATAATGATAATAATAATAATAATCATGAAATTAATAATAATAAAAATAATAGTAATAATAATAATAATAATAATAATAATAATAGTAATCATAATAATAAAAATAAAAAAATTAATAATAATAATAATAATAAAAATAATAATAATAAAAATAATAATAATAATAATAATAATAATAATAATAATAATAATAATCATAATAATAAAAATAATAATATTAATAATTATAATAATAAAAATCATGATAATAAGAATAATAATAAAAATAATAATAATAATAACAATAATAATAATAATAATAATAATAATAATAATACTAATAATAAGAATAATAGTTACCATAATAATAATAATAATAATAATAATATTATAAATAACAATAATAATCATAGTAAAAAAAATAACAATAATAACAATAATATTAATAATAATAGCCATAATAATAATCATAATAATCATAATAATAATAATATTAATAATAATCATAATATTGTAATAATAATAATCATAATAATAAGAATAATAACAAAAATAGTAATAATAATAATAATAATAATAATAATAATAAAAATAATAATAATAGTTACCAAAATAATAATAAAATTCATGATTATTATAAATAATAATCATGATAATGATAATAATAACAATAATTATAATAATAGTCATAATAATAATAATAATGATAATAATAATAAAATAATAATAATAATCGTAACTACTATAATAATAATAATAATAATAGCAATAATAATAAAAATAATAATAATAATAGTAACAACAACTAATAATAATAAATAACAATAATAATAATAGCAATAATAATAATAACAATAACAATAATAATAATAATTGTAATAATTATAATAATAATTATAATAATTATAACAATAATAACATTACCTTGTATTACTCTAATCATCGCGACGTTTTTTTAACTTTCTCTAGTGCCACCATTACATTAAAGCATTACATCTATCCGTCCCTGATATATGGTCTGCATCTGCTTGCTTCATTTCGGTGTACAGCAGGCATACCGGATTTTCCTGGCATTCCTTAACTTTGTTGCCTCTAGGTCTATAGCAGAAGTCCGCCTGATTGACTCCGCTGCAATTGCTCCTTATATGGCTATAACCAATACACCTGTAGCATCGTTTTACCTCTGCCCTTTCTCTTACCCTGCAGTTTATCCATCCTATTTTCACTTTACCCGTTGTAATAAGTTCCCTAGCGTATTTGGTCTCCATTTCTATTATTGCCAACCTCTGCTCCCTCCTAATATGTTTTGTTAGAGTCAGCTTGTATTCCGGCTCCCGCCCAAGAGCGTCCTTCAGTGCGGCCTTTACCCCTCCTTCCGTTGTAAGAAAATCGAGGTCCCTTATTTCCAAAGGAACAATCGGAGTCAAGCCCTATACCACGGCCGTCGTGCCTAGCACATTCTGTAAGCTCCTAACAAAACCCCGCTTATCTTTGTTCTCATTTGACATCTCCACAAGTACATCCCCTCTTTGGGTTCTTCGGACTCCCCTGATAACTGCTTGTGACGCTCCAGGATCCACATTGCTCCTAATATCCTTTAATATCTCGGCATATGATTTCCCTTGCCCGGGTCTATCTGAATAGACCATTTAGTGCATTTTGCAAGTTATTTAAAATTTGGCTGCAATCAGTGTCTGCACAATATATCACAGTATCGTCGGCGAAAATTGATAATATGGTGTTTCGAGTTAATGGCATATCGGAAGTACATACGTTATATAATATGGGCCCCAGAACTGAGCCCTGGAGCACACCAGCCTCCACTTGATGATAGTCAGAGAATATACCATTTACAGAAACCCTAAACTTCCTTTCATTGAAGCAAAATTCGAATCATTTTAATTAAATACACAGGAAATCTATACATTTTAAGCTTATGCAGTAGCCCCCTATGCCACACCGTGTCAAATGCTGAGTTAATTCCAAGAGTCACCATGCCAACCGATTTTTTGTCCTGGAAATTTTCTTTAACATAATTTTTAACACGCAATAATGGATGCAATGTATTATGGCCTTCTTTCAATGAATTCATTTAGTCTAATTTTAATAATTTTTTCAAATATTTTTGACAGGTTACTGAGTAGACTTATCGGTCGGTAACTGTTAACGCCGTCAGGAGGCTTTCCCGGCTTAAGAATCGCGATAACATATGCCTCCTTCCATGCGTTAGGGAAATAGCCGAGCTTCAAGCAAGCGTTATAAATTGAATTTAAATAAATCTTTGTACAATTAGGAAGTTTTTTAATACATAAGTTTGTAATAAGATCTGCACCAGGTGATTTTTTTGTTTTTAAAGCAGAAATGACGTGATTTATTACGTGAGATGTTATAGGTTCAAAATTTTCGATGTCCAAACCATCTATCTGTCCAGCAGAAATATTGACCTGCGAAATAGTGATAGCATCACCTAAGACATCGTTATTCTTATGTTTGTTATAAAAATTTTTCCCTAAAGCATTACCTTTTTCAATATTTGTAGTGTGAATCGAATTATTATCCTTAAGAGCCGGAACATATTTATTTTTAGTTTTAACAATTTTAACAAACTTCCAGAGAGGTTTCCCACCCCAGTTCAGGGAGCCTAGGGTACTAGACCACTTCTTACTTCTGTATTCTATAATTTCAGTCCTAATTTTATATTTCAACTGCCTCAACTGTGCACAATATAACAATAAACGATTACGAATCCACTTCCTTCTGACTGAGTTTCTACGATTAATTAGTGAAACCAAATAAGGAGGCAACTTCGTATTACAGGTATTTATTTTTAAACCTTTAAATAAGCCCGATAAAAATGCCAATTTGCGTTATGATAATCTAAATAAAAATTATCAGTACTGACAACCGATCCACTAATTTGCACCCCCACCGGAAGATGGTCAGACGATAGATTATCAAGAATCATAGGTTGAGAACAAAAATCAGGTGAATTTGTGAGAAAAAAGTCAAGTGTAGAAGGTTGAGAATTTACATTAGCTGGACAATATGTAGGTTCAAAGAGATAAAGCAAATTTATCAGTTTGCAGCAGGTTATTTAGAACATTTCGCCAACAGTTAGCCCGAGCACAGCCCCAATTCCAGTTCCTAGAATTCATGTCGCCGCCAACAATATAATTGCCCATGATCCTTGACACCCTCAGCAAATCATTTTTAACAAAGTTTTAATTTTTTCCCGTTTGATTTTTTTATCTAAGTTTAATTTATTTGTATAATTTTTAGTGGCCGAAAAGTATACTGCATAGAGCTTAAATGTTTGAGCATCACTAGTAGTTATTTTTAAACCTATATTTTCAATCAGCTCAGTTTGCAACACTGGTAAGGGAGAGTGCTCCAAAACGCCCTTTACAATTATGGCAACAACACCACCCTTGCGATCCGTGCGATCGTTTCTATATATTTTGTAGTAAGGTGAAGCTAAATTGATTGTAGGATTCAACCAAGTTAGAAATTTAAAAAATTCAATACTTTCATTTGCTATGGAACGAGCATTCCAAATTATAATATTAATTTTGTTGGAAGAAATCATTTTGAATACAAATATTTTACCGAGAGTTCGGTTATAATCATAAACTGCTCATGCTTATTTTTACATTGGCTTAATTTACCTAAAATTTCTTTAGTTAATTTTAAAATTTCATCTACAGAAAATAAATTACAATTTGTGTCATTTAAATTATTAAAATTGTTGTTGTTGTTATTTTCATTATTATTATTGTAGGTATTAATATTCATCATCATCATCATCATTGTTGGCTCAGCGATCCATATTGAATCTTGGCCTCCTTTAAAAGATTTCTCCACTCATCTCTGTTTGCGGCGATTGATCTCCAATTCCTCTGATTTAAATTTTCAGCAATTTTTTCGATATTATCTAGCCAACGTAGTTTTGGCCTACCAACATTTCTCTTTCCTTCTGGACCATATTTAAATATTTTGTTTGTTGCTTTATCTTGGTCCATTCTTGATACATGGCCAGCCCACTTTAATTGTTGAATTTTAATACGGCTACTTAATTTTGACTCTTTTAAAACGTTATAACATTCTTCATTGGTTCTTAGGCGTATTGAACCATCTTCCTCTATTCTTGGCCCCAAAATCCGTCTGATTATTTTTCTTTCAAATACGTCAAGTTTGTTTTCATCACTCCTTTTCAGAGTCCAAGTCTCAGCACCATATATAAGAACTGGCACAATTAACGTTTTGTATAATTGGATCTTTGAGTTTTGACTTAATAAGTTCGATCCCATAATTTTATATAAAGAGGCGTATGCCTTGTTTGCTGCTTTTAATCGTTCATTTATTTCTTCGGTGCAGTCGTTTGATATATTGATAATCGACCCAAGATATTTGAAACGATTGACCCTTTCAAAACTATGCTCATTGAGAACGATTATTTGGTCATTAGTAGTGTGCTGGTTACTCATGTACTTCGTTTTGCTTGCATTTATAACTAATCCAATTTGCCTTGCTGATTCTTCAAAACTTTTGAAATTTTCTTTTAATGTGTTGATGTTTCGAGCAATAAGGTCCACGTCGTCGGCGAAAGCCAAAATTTGTGAGGACTTATTCCAA